TGTGTGTGTGTGTGTGTGTGTGTGTGTGTGTGTGTGTGCGCTACAGAGGGGCTACTCTGTCAGCCGGGTAGTCTGTCCTGGCAGCGCGACAGAGCGGCGCTGTAATCTCCCGGCCAGTGCGCGGCAGCACCTTTCATTTCCACAGGATTACACCGTGCTGCTGGTCCGCACACACACACACACACACACACACACACACACTCACACATGCACACACACACAGAGGGCAGAGCCACGCCGCCACACTGCATGCAAGAGATAACTCAGCAGTTTGGTCGTCCCCTGTTCCAACTCCTCCCATAAGCCACATCAAACCCAGGAGGGGTTTTGGAGGAAGCCGAGAGGGGGAGAAAGAGAGAGAGAGAGAGAGAGAGAGAGAGAGAGGGAGAGAGAGAGAGAGGGGGGTGGTAGCGAGTAGAGGGGGCCATAAAGCCTGCGTGCCCACCTTGTTCCTTTGCCACGTTTATTGTTGCGTTTTTAATTTGCATGCAGAGGGATTTGGACGGCGCTCCAGTTGGGCTGTCTGTGGTTTCAGCTGATTCGGTAGTGAAGAAGAACACACACACACACACCCCGCCCCGCAAACACACAAACAGACGCGCACAAACCACCACACACCATCTTGTCAAAGCCAGAGAAACAGTACCCCAGCCCAACGATGGAGTAATCCAACTCAAACACTCCCCAAACCAGCAGGATTAAACCCAAAGTAGCAGAGCCAATCAAACAAAGGCACGACGTGAACTCCATTTCAATGCCAGGAAGTCCATTTGATGAAATAAAGTACAGAGAGTTTATTAGTTCACGAGTGTGAATGTTTGTTTGTGCGGCTTTTTTCACTTTCCTGCCTGTGTTTGACAATTTCGACAGTTTGACATTTAGCTTTTATAGAAGGAGCTGAAGGAGAAGAAGAAGAAGAAGAAGAGGAGGAGGAAAGAGAATCATGTGCTGCACAAAAAAACAAAACAACAACTACTAACATTTGCTAAACGTTTTTTATGTGTTGCGCGCCAAGCAGCAGTTAGCGCTGCTCCCGGCCAGCACTGTGGACAGTGGACAGTCAGCATTTTCCATGGCAGCTTCAAGAGCTTTGTTTGTGTTTGTCTAATTGCATTGCTTCCACAGGCCAGGCAGAGGCAGCGAGACGGGAGGACAGCGAGACGGGAGGACAGCGAGGCGGGAGGACAGCGAGACGGGAGGACAGAGAGACGAGAGGACAGCGAGACGAGAGGACAGCGAGACGGGAGGACAGCGAGACGGAAGGACAGCGAGACGAGAGGACAGTGAGACGGGAGGACAGCGAGGCGGGAGACACACTGGGAGAAGTTAGCAGCTCTCCCTTGTTTGTCAGGAAACTTTAAAAATTAAGTAAATGCATAAAACGTATTCCCTCTAAAAAATATATAAAGCATCGTGAAATTAATTAGATTTAAATCTCACGTATATCTCAATATTTTCTCCCACGAATTACTCCATCAACAGGGCTTTATGTTAAACATTCCCACACTCTGCTGCTGATATTACCGTACTGTAGCAAATCTGTTTTCCCCTTTATTGTTTAATGTAATTTGTTGAGCCTCTCCACCGCAGCTGACAAGCACCAACTGCTCTTGATTGGATCATGGAACTTGCTGCCCCTGCCACTAAAGTGTTACACGGTCTAGAAAACAAAAATCTAGGGCTCTTCAATCCAGTGTACTCGGTGTTTTGTTGAAGATCATTAAGGGCTCTCTATAAATAAATAGAACAGGTAGTTCAGAACAGGCCTAGGTGCAGACCGGCAGAGGATGGAGCACACACTCGATGCTCCACAACAACTGTTTGCTGGTGTTTAACCATGCAGGCTGCAAAACGCTGCAGCCACAGGAAGCACCAGTCTAGTGATACTTGCTACCATGTGCATGACTGACGAGGTGGATAATTAACACTTATAGGAAACATACATTCATGTTGGAAGCAGCAGATTTAATATTACAGGTGGAGTGTTCACACCTTCCATCAGCTTTGAAAAACACAGGCAGCAGAATAAGTAGTAAAAAAACAAACAAAAAAAAAATCCCTATATGATCTCAAGGCAAGGCTCTAAAATAATGTGATGGGATTTTTCCTAATTTTTATTTTACCCTTATGGGTCAATAAAAGGCATTTCCTACGCGTTTCTCTGCTTCCATACAGGAAACAAACACTCACTGGCTGCTCCGTTGGCCTGCTGAAGCAACACATTTTCCCAGATAACCCCAGAAATCACAGATTAAGTAGCGGACTGGAAAGGCAGTTCATTTGGATGCGGAACACATCTCTCAGTTGAACTCACAGATGCTGCAAACAGGTTCATCGAAGCAATAAGTACTGACAGGCGTAGGATTATCGCGCTACGTTGGCGCACACCTGCAACAATATTGCACTGTAATCCGCCGCCTCTAGGTCACTGTTGCTTAATTATTAATTAGTTTCAGACAACTGGACCGGCAATCAAAGGAGCCTTCTCTTGTTCTACAGCGGTTCTGTGTGGACGCTCGCGGGGTCATAAGTTGCCCAACTAAAAGGGCGCCTTCCGACCTCAGAGGTCAGGCCCGACCGTAAGCCCGTGAGCCTCAGTGGACCATTGTATAGACCTGGTATAAATAGCAGCCGGGTGTTCTGATAAAAATATTTTCCTTGCAACACAATAGTTGAATTCATGCGCGAGATTCACCCAGCTATGCGATGCAGTACACCGTGTATGTGAGCGCTGCAGTCACAAGCTGCCAATGAGAGCATAGGCCTGCTCTGTCAGAGAACAGCATGGTATTCACCGCCCAACCCACCCACCCATTCACCCATTCACCGCCAAACTACTGCTGCAAACACCCCCAACATGGAAGCTCAGAGGAACACTGGCAAAAAAAAAAAAAAAAAAAAAAAAAACAAAAAAAAAAAAAAAAAAAAAAAAAAAAAAAAAAAAAAAAACAAAAAAAAGGCCGAGATGACACACCAAAAATGAAAAGAAAGAAAAAAATCAGAGATGAAGAAATGATTGTGGCTATTGTTGTGGCTGGCTGCTTGGAGGAGAGGACCGCCAGACAAACCTCTCCTGTGTCTGAACAAGGGAAGGAGCTAAAAGTAGGGGGAAGACAATGCATTACTGTCTTTCCTCCTCCTTGGACCTGGCAGAGGCCCAGCACTGGCAGACACAGTGCAGATAAATGCAGCCGATAACACGGTATGTTCAAACCTGTTTCTCCTCCTCGAGCACGCAAAAAAAAAACCAGCGGCTCCACACTCGACCCGCAAGCTAACGTGCGCTGTGTTGTAAATGCATTACGCCACGGTGGACGCCCATCTGCTGACGACGGTGGAGTCTTGAAACGTTCCTGATGCTGGGGCATATGCGAATCTCCCGCAACAATAAGCAATAATTGACTGCACATTTCAGGGCCAGGTTTTTTTTTTTTTTT